TGTCTACTCGCCAATTTTTCATCCAATAAAACTCTATCTTTTGAAAACCATCCGGCTTGAAGTCCACACACACACACTAAGCTAAAATAAAGCTTTACTGAAGCCCAAACAAAGAACTCTGTGTTCACATTGGGCCGTTTTCAAATATCTCAGCGAACTTTCGCATGTTGGTTTGCTGAATAACAGAAGAAGAAGAAGATAAATGTATACATATCGAGACAATGTAAAATAATTAAATCTAAGTGGGACTCACCGCTTTCGACAAACCCATTAACTCAAACGGTCTTTCGGTTCGACAGGAAGAAGAAGGCAGAAAAGATTTTTCACCCACAAACCCATTCGCAATAATCAATAGAATTGAACGCTTATACCCAAGGTTACTTTCACTTTAAAATCTGAAGATACATCAGTTGATTCAAAAAAAGTAAATTATTGATCCGCTCAAAAAGTTAACAAATAGGAGAAATGGCTCTATAAACAAAACAAGTTAGAAAATTATATTCAATCGTGACCGAATCTTTTATAACCACCACTGTTTTCCTCGAAAATGCAAAAAACGCAAAAGAACTTATAATACGGAGTGGGCGCAACTGACTTTCCATTTTGAAAATAAAAGTTTTTGCCCCATAGTCATACGGCCGGATACTACACGGTTGGACAGACAGGCATGCTTGAATTGGTTTAGAATATTATATATGTATGTATAGAATATATATATTATATAGGGTCTTTGACGCTTCCTTCTGGGCGTTGCGCATATTTTGGCAGAATGAATATATATATCTCATTTTTCGGTGATGATGCAATATGAAAGAGCTTATAGTCTTGGCTGCTAATGCTTATTCTATCTTTTAAGTCGTACGATTTATTTCTTTGGTCTAAAGAAATTATGATAATAATAAAATTTGTAATCAAGTTATACATACAAACGTAGAATCATCTCTTTGTTCAGCTAAACTTTCCTTAAGATTTGTACTCGCCTATGGCAGTAACGCCTTCGCAAACTTGTGTCAAAGAGAAATGATTTAAATCTTTATTAATAACCTAACACTAACATGAACGAAAATCGGTGTAAAAATTGTTTGATATTTTGCAATTCAGTTTATTCTGAAAAGCGAGAAGATAAAAGACATGAATACAAAAATTCATATGCCGTTTTTAACTTTTGATTGCGTTTTTATTGATGTTGTCTCCGTTGTTGACACAGTTGTGGAACGCTGCCCCCTTTTTATAAAAAAATTTGCGAAATCTTTGGCAGAAGGAGAACAAACAACTAAAACCAACCAAATTGGCTCTTAACGTAAGAGAGTTACACTATTACCTTAACGAACGCTGATTAAAATAGCAGTTAATTTTACTTCTAAATCAACGATCCTCTTCCTATTGTCTCTATTTTTGCACATGTATCCCAACTTTCATGTTTAAAAAATTCTTACAAAAAATAAGTAAGTTGCGAATTAAAAATTTATGGTGTTTACTTATATTAAAAAAACTCAGCCTTTCGCGAAAAAGTAACAATTTATGCAGTCATTAACTGAATTTTTGAATGCATAGCGTGGCTACTAAGATGGCAATATTACGGTAGAAATAATGGCATACAGATGGCGTTAGACTTAGGAGAAACATCTGATTTAAAACAAAAAAGAGACCTGTTTAGCAAACAAAATTTGAGGTGCAATAGCTACTCTGTGCAAAGCATAACTTGTCAAGTTTTTTTATGTAAAATTTTTTCATTCATTTTAAAAATTCAAAAGACACGCTAAGCATTCGCATTTCATTCACACTCGATACAACACGTCATCTCTGCAAACGGCAGTTAATAATTTTTGTGTTTACCGGTGTTAGTGAAAAAAAGGAAAAAAAAAAGCAAAAAGAAGTTTAATAAAGTGATAAAATAACCAAAGAAAACAATCTTAAGGAAGCAAAGGAGGGAAGGAAGAGGAATCTCTTGTGAAAGAAAAATTAAGTAGTAATACATATATTCAATTTTTTGTTTTTTTTTTCGTTGTGATTTTTTCTTTTTATGTTCCCCGTGATAACAACCAAAACAACATCAGCCCGTCTCCCTATGGAGACTGGGTCTGATCTTATAGCTATTGATAGAGACTGTTTTGAAGATTTTTACATGAACGCCACTGGGCACACCAAGAGATCGAAAATGGGTGAGAATAATATTCTTTTATCTGTTAACGGAGAAGCTAACGCAAACGTTTTAATTCCGCCTAGTAAACAGGTTATCGACAAGCCCTCTGATTTGGGTGCCACAGCCGCCCCAAATCTCGAAATCAATTTGTACGATTACCTTTCGAACTGCAATTTCGTCGTTTTTGTCAAAACTTGCGCAGACGCAAAAGGAAATCGCATCAATATTAACTCCAATTTCTATTTTTATGATTACTTGAAGGATTTCAATATGTACGGTTTAAAAGAATTAAAAGTTGCCAACAGGGGCAGAGACAAACTGCTTTTCAGCTCTGCTGCCAATGCCAACAATTTTGTTACGAATAATGAATTGACGAAAAAGAATTTAAGGGCGTACATACCGAGGTCTTTCACTGAGAGATTTGGAGTCATTCGAAACATCCCATGCACATATAGTGTCGATGATATAATTAAAAACGCCATATCCGATATTCCGATTAAGTCCGCTGTCCGTTTCCAAAGAAGAAGTCCCAACAACAAAGATGAGTGGATTCCCACAACCCGCATCAAAATTGGCTTCAAAGGGAGAGCCCTCCCTAAGTCAATAAAATTTAATTTTTGTTATCTGCCTGTTGAGTACTTTGTACCCACTTTAAAGCTGTGCTTTAAGTGCGGTAGATACGGTCACGTATCGGAATTCTGCAAGGCTAAAGAGAGCAGGTGCCTTAACTGTGGAAAGTCTCCGAAGTGTGTGAATTGTGAGACAATGAAGTGCTTGTCCTGTGGTTCAGGCGAGCACAACACTCTCAATAAGTGTTGCCCTAATAGAGAAACTGAATCAAATATCAACAGGATTATGGCAATTAGCAATCTTTCGTATAAAGAGGTCAAAAAGAATTTTTCCGCAAATTATTTCGAATGTCTCGATGACATCACTTATGGCGACAATTTTCCTACATTGGGGGACACGTCTGCAATTTCGACCGAAATCGGTTCCTTCCAAATCTCCTACCAGTTCACCCATTAAGCCTTCTCCCAATACACCCCCGAAATCGTCTGGAACAAGTCTTCGGCGACCGAAAAATTCAAACAACTATTTGCGGTCTTCAGAACTTGAAAGATTAATTCTCGCGATTCAAGAAAGTAATCGTTCGATGAACCCTCACAATCTTATTAAAGAATTTGAAGAAAAAATGTCTGTCTGTGCCATTTCTTGCCCCGTTAAGCATCCAGTACTATGAGGAAATCCGCTGGGATTCTTTCTCAAGTTTCAACATGATATCCTTTTTACAATATAATATTCAAAGTGTCCGACGTAACCTATCTTCTCTGGATTTTTACTTAAACTCGAACAAGATTGATTTTTGTATCTTAAGTGAAGTTTTTCTGAAAGATGAAAATTGTTTCGAAGTTAAAGTTTCGAATTATGCCTCAGCCACCAAATACCGAAATCATGGCTATGGTGGTGTTAATATATTAATTAAGAAAGGGGTCAATTTCAGACGTATTCCCTATAACTCTGCCGTTGACATTATCATCATCAAAACCATGAACCTGGAACCGAATCTTTTCATAGCATCATGCTACTTTCCACCCAGTCTCGATGTGCAAACCTTTCGTGATGAGATTCAGAGATTATGCGACTTTCTTGACAGTGAACAAAATGTGATTCTATCTGGAGATTTCAATGCAAGACATCGCCTGTATGGCGATGAAGTCTCGACCAACAGAACCTCGACCTTGTAAATGCCATCAATTCCAGCAGTTTCAGTGTCTTAAATAATGGCAATACCACCTTTCACTGTAACCGGAGCGGTCGCACGGCGAGCAGTGTCTTGGATCTAGCTTTCTCGAATTCAACTATTTTATCTTTTAACTGGAACACGTCAAATGTTTCCATTGGCAAAAGTCAGCACTCCCCCCGTTTTATTCCACAGTTGTAACAATTCCATTAAGAAAATAGAAAATTTCATTTCACGCAACTTCCTTATGGACCGCCTGTCTAAAGTTCATCTTCCTTCTGATTTATCATTCAAAGTGCCTTTCAGTCTGTGATCAGGTCTGCTAGAACCAACTTTCCCGCATTGAGTCTTTCTCACCTAAACCTTGGTGAAACTCTTCCCTGTCAACACTTTTCCGCAAATACCAAGCTGCAAGAAAAAAAATAAGTAAATGTGCCAATCCAGCCAAATACATTGAATATATGAAAATACTGAAAGAATGGAGGTCTGCAGTTAGAAATGCGAAAAGGGCACATAGAGCTATCGCGATTAAAGATTTATGTGGCAACGGCAACCCACGTTCCTTCTGGAATTATATCAATGGTCATCGACATTCTAGTCGAAAATTAAGCGGTTGTGCTGTATGGAATGGCCATGATAATAAAAAATACTTAGATATGCTCAAGAGCTACGTTCCAATTGTCAATCCGATTACAATGCCTTCAATTCCTTTTAGTAGTCTCAGTAACACACCCTTTTCATTGCAAGAGCTGATGTATGTTTTACATTCCAGAGAGAGAGAGAGCTACTGCTGCAGGTTGTGATGGAGTCAAGTACGACATGCTCAGAGCACTGTCTGGAGGAAGCTTTAGCATTCTTTTGCATGCAATTAACAACTGCTGGTCCACCAACTTTATATACCCTGATTTGCGTTGCATCAAAATAGTTCCCAGGTAAATGATTTGATCTTCAGATGATTTTGTTATTGTATCTGCTGACTCATCTTTTTCAGCTGCTGTCGATAACCTCTCGATGAAAGCGAATTTGTTTTTCGATGCATGCACTGATCTTTATTTATATTTTAACCCCAGCAAGACAAACACTATTTATTTTGCCAAAGGTTCTAAACGTGAAATCAGACTTCTTATCAAAGGTACCCAAGTTAATCAGGTAAAATCTTTTCGATTTCTTGGGAGAATTTTAAATGACAGCTTAACCCTTCGTGGGCATTATGAAAAGGTGTTCAAAGATTGTCAGTCTGGATGCAACCTCATCAAATTCATGACAAACAATCAGGCAGCTTGCCTCCCAAAAATGCTTTGACCGTTTACAAATCTCTAGTCAGGTCCAATATTGAATTTGGACGTTCCACATGTTGCAATTTCCCAAAATATATTGCGAAACGTATACAAGCATTTGAAAATCGAATGTTGAAGCGTTGTACTGGACTGACCCCCTCAACTCCTCAACATATTCTCAATGTCATATCTGGTGAATGGCCGGTTTTTTTGCACTGCTAAGGAGTTAATTAAAGTTAAGATGACAAATCCTTCCTTTTTTCAGGAAATTATATCTCCCAGTGATACTGTCACTTGCAGCTATACTTTTTGCTATCAAAAACTTCGTCATATTTTTGATAAGTTAGATTCAATTCTTCCCTTGAATTTCATTACCAGCAAATGCAGAGTCTTTATGACCATTCTCGAATCGGTTGTTATGTCAAGAAAAGCTCCTTTTTTATTACAACAACGGCTACGATATGTATGCCACCGACGGTTCCAACGGACGTAATGTATCTGGCTTCTCGGTCGTGAAACATCTTTCTGAAACAATACATCGAGTCAAAGTGGAAGAGGAACATTCCTCGACTTTTATAGAGTTGCTCGCCATTCGACATGCTATCAAGGTTGCTATCTCCGATGGTATCAGAAGGTTTGTTATTTTTTCTGACAGCAGGTCAGCTCTACTTCTAATAAATAAAAGAGATGCAGAAAATCAACATGCGTTTGATATTCACAAGACGTTGCACGAATCTCAAGTGGGTGACCGTCACCTCGTTTGGGTACCTGGCCACTACGGCTTTTTATAAAATGTAAAAGCCGACTTTCATGCAGGGAGAGCTCGTGTTGATGGGACAATTTTGTCCATCAAATACACTCCCAATAAACCAATTCGGGCAATTCGCAACCACATCCTTCAACAGCTAAACGACGAATTTAAAGAAATCGCGCGCGTTAAATCCAATCGCCTTTTCTATAAATTAAATCCCACATTTCAATTCAAACACTTCTCTGTATCTTCTTTTAATTCCTGGGAAATCAAAATTCTTTATAGACCCATGAGTGGTCATACTTATGACAAAGTTTATTTAAAAATGATTCGCGCTATACCATGTGATCTTTGTGAAGTTTGCAATGTTGATGAGTCTGCTGAGCATCTAAACTTCAGATATCACAGACTTGATGGCATTAGAGATTCCTTTAGCTTCTTCAAGTTATATGCCTGTTTCCTCGATCTCTTTGCAGCAAAAAATGTACGTCATCTCGGGGAACTAACTTGCTTTATTAAAAAAGCTAATTTATCCTTTTAGAATTAGGTGCAACGATTAAAAGAAGATTATCAGGCTTTGATTAAAGTGTGATTTTAAACGCTTGTTAAGTTAAAGTTTTTCATTTAACTTAACAATATTCCACATTTTAGTATGTACAAAACAATAAAGAGTCTGGCATGGATTGGTTTCGCTTGGAATCGAACAAGGAGGGCATCAAATGGTTTGGCAAGTGCTGGTATATGCATAATTTGCTAAAATATGAGTTTGATGTAGAATTTGATGTAAGTATATATCAAAACATCACGATTGCACTTATAAGCGTAACTTTCATCCTTTGTGACTAGACTAAATATTGAAATATTGATATTCAATTTCAAACAATTGTCATTCAGATACCTGTCTTATATCCAACAACCGCGCCGGAAATCGCTCTACCCGAATTGGACGGTAAAACGGCGAAAATGTATCGGGGTGGAAAAATTTGCTTAACAGATCATTTTAAACCGTTATGGTCCCGAAATGTACCTAAATTTGGTATTGCACATGCTATGGCCTTGGGAGTAAGTCATATTAAAAAATTGTGAATACACGTTAGGTCATATATATAATCTTTAAATATAATCCTTTCAAATTTCAGCTTGCACCCTGGTTAGCTGTAGAAGTACCTGAACTTATAGAAAAAGGGATTATTACTAAGCAATAAGATTTACTTATTTAAGGATTTTTGCTCTTTGTCGCGTTTGCTTTTATTTTCTTCGTATTTAAGAAAGAAGAAAGAAATAAAATATTTAAAAAAGAAAATAAATTCAAAAATATCTTCAAATATCCTACGAGTATTTTTTCATTTTTAGATGATTCTCTTCTACGTATATACGTATTATTAATAGGTAATTAAAACTAAATATAATAAAAAATGACATTTTACGAATTGAAAATAAATAGAATTTAATATTTCTATCGGAAAGTATATATAAGTATAAACATTTCTTTTTACAAATAATAAATTAACTGAAAAATTGTTGTGAGATGTTAAAGAGTTACAATTTCCTTTTTATGTTAAGTATTTTGTAAGTAAGAAAGTTTAATAGGTTCCAAAACAAAGAAGTTATATTTTGTGTGTGCGTGCTACACACTCCGTCAAATGTTTGTTGCTTACTTAGCAATCCGTAGAGTTTTTAACTTTTCTCTATTTTTTCTTTGCGAAATACCTTCAAGTATGGTAGACTTGTGTGCGTAGGTGGCAGAAGGATAACAATATCTGCAAATTAGAATAAACAAAAATATTTGCTCATTTCGTTTGGAAAGCAAAAAATATGTAAGGCATCACTGAATATGAATAGAGCGAAACAAAAACCAAACATCAAAAGGGATATTGAAAGTAATAATGACAAACGTTAATATTACTTGTTGAAATAAATATACATAACTTCATTTGGGGAGTGGTCGGAAAACTGATCGAATTCGAAATATTTTCAACAGCTTTCGTCGTTGGGCCAAACCACATCGGTTCATCAAATTTCATCAAAAATATTTCAAAACTTGCGATTTGCAACTTGAACAAGAAGAGACGGACGGACAGACAAACTTAGATTGATTCACAGAATATGAATAATAAATGTGGCTCTATTTCATGTCCTTTTATATGTTGCACACATTCCTATAAACTTAATGCATCTTTCTCCTACAAACTTGTATAAGATATAATAAATAAATATACATTTAAAAGATTCTCGACTACATTTTGCTCTTCAAAAGGATAAAAATTAGGCCAATATAATCGCCGATCTTTTGCGAACATCCCATTCATATTAAAATTTGTCTCGTGCAATTTGGCAGAGAATATAAGCAATGTACGCACATTTTAATTTGTGCGAATTGAGGTTTTGGTTTTGATGGCTGAGATTCAGACGCCTAAGGGGAGAAAATTGCCCGCTATACAATGACCTTTACTTGACTATGATGCGCAATTACTTCAAACGGTTTTGTGAAGCTTCTCTCACGTTATAATGTTGAGTGTTCTTAGACATAATAACTTACATTTGTTATTGCACTAATTTACTGCTGCTGTTGAGACGGTGCTGGTACCGGCCTTGCCTGTGGTTGCTGTTTTTGTTGCGTTTGTCCTAAATTTTGTTTCCAGTTATTCGTCCAGATTGAACTCAAACCAAAGGGATCAAAAATTGGTATATTCTCGGTAGCCTCTGTTGACAAATCATTAACTGAGCCATTTATGGCCACTATCCCTGAGCTGGTCATGGTAGCAGTAGGCATTTGTTGTTTTTGATTAAGAATATAATGCTTCTCCAGACCTGGGGGTGGACGTATCATATTAGACGTTGTAGTTGTGGTTGCTGCCAAATTCCAAGAGTGGGCACTTTGATTAGTTGGGTCAAAATTGACAGCATTCGTAGAAGTTGCCGGAACAACGGCATTAGAGTTAACCATCGATGGCCACGAAGTGCAATTCAATTGGGACCAATTATTACCTGCTAATTTGGTTACTGAAGAACACGTCGTGCCTTCTAAGAATTGTTGCTGTTGTTGTTGCTGTGAATTGTTATGACCTGACATTTGCTGTTCGCGTAATTTTCGCAAATAATCGCTCGTCTGCTGCCATTGGCATGGTAGTTCATCTTGGGCATGTATCTCATATAAATGATTAGTTAATAAACTGCTTTGCTGTGATTGATGTTGCTCTTGGCGTTGGTGCTGTTGTTGCTGTTGTTGTTGTTGTGAATGATCGTCAAAGCCGTAAGGATTGCCTAAAGTATGGGATAACAAATCAGGGAAATATGAAGAGACTGAACCCAAAGCATTGCCATTATGAAATGTTTCCCACACAGGAGTGGAAGATGGTGATTTACGTGAACCAATAGGACCCAATTCGGATTTTTGGGCTGGAGTTTGTGACGTTGTCGAAGTAGCGAGAAGTTCTGAGCTTTCCAATGACGAGGATTGTAACGCTGGTGTCGGCAAGAGATCATCCAGAAATGTATGCTTAGTTGTAGCGGACTTTGAGGATTGTGATTGCAGGACATCGCTGAACGTTACTTGACTATTAGTTTCCCAAGGTGATGTAATACAATTTCCTACATAAAGGCAGTCGTTTAAAACTGTAGAAGATTCTTTTTGTTTTTCAGACTTCCCAATAGAATCAGTCGATGGCATAGAAGTATTGGTAGCATTGGTAGAGAAATTTAAAGAATTTGAGGCTTTTAGTTTAGTTTTACGATCTGCTCGAGTTTTGTGTGACGACGAATGTTGAGAATGCATTGAAGATGCAGAACACGTGGAAGAGGAACATGAAGACGACGAGGCTGACGATAAAGAGTGAAGCGAAGAACCGACATCTATAGAGCAATTTTTACGTCTCTCGCGTCCCGGTGTTTTACCTAATTTGCGACCTGCACATACATTTAGGTCTTTAATATTAGGTGGCGTTAAAGCACCTACACACGTCTTTGATGCTTTAATGGATGCTTTAGCATTCGTTTTAGGGGAATTTTTCTCCTTTTTGCTTTCCTTTTCATGAACTTCTTCTTCTGTTTTAGATAACTTAATTAAATCTTCCGTAGCTGCGGTTTCAAAGATTTTGTTTTTCTTGTTACTAATCTTAGGATATGATGTTAACTTTTTCAATCCTCCGTCCATTTTATCTAATAAAGTCTTTTCAGTCAGCTTAGGTTTAAGATTTTTGGCTGTGCTGTCGTTAGGCGAGCTATTATTATGACTACCGTTAGAATTATTAGACACATTAGATGTTAACAATGTTTCGCTTTTGTCCTTAGCCAGACGCTTACGGGATTCACCACTACCAAAAGTCCAATTAACCATATCCGCCAAGGATAGATTACGTTTAGTAATTGAAGATTTTGTTTCTACATTCGAAAATGACTTTTGATTTTTATTAGCGTTTCGTTTCTTTAAACCGCTGTTTCCATTACCATCACTAGCATTAGACTTCTCCTTAGTTTTACCAGTAACGGCCTCTATTCCAGATGTCTCATTAGACGAATGGGAACGCATTGCTATATTGCGCAAATTAAAAGGTTGCATCTGTGCTTTATCCCGGGCCAAAGAAAGTTTCGACTGTTGATAGCATATGTTGCCGTAATCTATGTGGGCAGCGATAAGCACCAAGGCAAACATTATGGATAAAACTACAATTGCTGCGCTACGTATACGTGATTCCCAAAAAGGACGAGGCAACAAGGCAATACAACGTTCCAAGCCTTTATTCGGCAATTGTGCTACAAGCACATAATCAAATCCAAACGAATGGTTGGTTTTCAAAATAAACGGTTTCGTAATACGTGTAACAGTGAAATCCGGCTGAAAACTAATCTCAATCCTACGTGTACCGTTCGTTTTTAACTCATACGGCGAACAATCAGCTGTACTAAAACCATAACCGGTACATGGCTGATCATCTATAAATATTCCTTTTATCCAAATAGGTAATTCTCCAGAATTACGAGCCGTAAAGACGCGTTTTGCCAGAAGCTGAAACGCCAAAAACGAACATATAAATCAATTTTATTCTTATTATTCATATGAGAATGTACCTTGTGTGCGACATCCACACCAGCCTTACTTGGATTTTGTGTCGCAGAACAAACGCGTTCCATTTGCAGTTCGCTTATTTCAAAGAGGAGCGGATTTAGTGAGCCGGGCTTGCGATTACTTAAACGAAATTGCGATTGGGCTGTCTTAGCACTAAGCCAGATAGCCTCATATAAGGTTAAATTATTGCGAACATGCAGCAGAGTGCAATAAGTTCCCGTAGTGTGCGAACGAAATCTAACGGGGACTGAAACGCTTCCTCCCGCGGCTATTAGTAACGGCGTTTCAGGAGGATTGTTGACTAGAGAAAATACCGCTTTATCTGTGAGATAACAACTTGGTGCAATTACAATAACTTCAAGCGGTAAAGAAAGTTGCGCTTGCTTTGCCAGTGACGGATCAGCTAAAAAATAATCAACCAGTATAGGAGTGTCGGCCGGATTCGTGATTGTTACGCCATACTCCTGTGTTTTATTCACTTCTGTGGTAGGCAGTACAGCAGCACTACCCACTAATTGTGGCCATTCTAGTTCAATGATGAGATTCATTTGAAATTGTACTGAATCTTTCGTGGTCATGATAAAATCAATATTCTGAAAATACCATTTAAAATGACGATACAATTCGGTCCGCCGTCTCAATTCGACTTCATCAAAATGAGGAATGTGAAGATTATTGCCTTCAAAATTGTTAAGAAACGTGACCACCTCATCTGTATAAGGAGATATGTAACAACGTGAACCGCATAAGAGGGCCGGTTCGAAATAAATTCGTGCAACAGTGGTAACTGTTTCAGGGGATATCTTGGAGCCATATTGCTGGAAATCTTCAAATCGGAAACCCGGTTCGGTAAAATTGATACTACGTATGTTCAAAGGATATTTGTAAGTTGAACGTATACTCAGTTCGGAAGAGCAAAGTTTACCCTGAAATAATATCAAAAAACAAAAAAAAACGATCGCCATATTAGTGAAGAAATGTACAAATGCCTTTAAATTAATCGTAGACTTTAATGATATTGAAAAAAAAAATTGGCTGAATTGAATAAGACCTGTTGTCTCCTAATAAAGCATCGATTTTAATATTTTTGCTATGTATTAACGAAATTTTTCCTAAGGACTACACAATTAAAGAATTCAATGACGTCTGCAAGCTAAGAATTATTATTATGCATAAAAAAAATTCGCTAACGGTCTTCTATTACTTGTAATTAAATTTTCAACTTTCAATGCAAGTGAAAATATAAAAATATGATTGATATATGATGATTAAAATGAATATATGGTGAATAAACCATGCTTGCCTATAAAACAGTGTTTAGAGCAAATCATTTTTATAATAAAGAAATAAAAATATTGCAGCTGTGGTAGCCTAGATCACCCTAACGTTATCGAAATATCGAATTTTGAAAATATGGTGTTAAGGTGTGATCGAAAAAGTTTGTACAAACTGACCCATTTTCAAAAGGTATTAGTGTAGCAAATTTTATCAAAATGACTCAAATGTCGCGACCTGTAGGTTGAACAGGAGACAACGACAACAAGCAGACAGACAAGCTTAGATCGGTATAATAGAAGGTGGATCTATCTAAAGACGTTCTGGTTGTTGCTTATATCCGTACAGTTTTAAAATATCCTTGTATCGCAAGTGGTGTAGACTATATAAAAATAGCAACTTTAAGTGGTGAATGAAATCCATAGATCATAATGAAAGTTAGTCAATGGTTGCAGCTGAGTCTTTCTCTATTAACGGTGTTGTGATATGCAATACCGTGTTAAAAGTTTCACTTTAACTTATGCTTAAAAGGTGCGAATTTATAAATTAATTTATGAAACCAATTTATGCCGCTTGACTGCTTTAAATATCCCGTAATACACATTTTCTATTCACCTCATACCCAAATATATTTATATTAAAAGAAATTTAATCAAATTCAAACGAATAATTAGTTTTCAAAATAAACGATTTCGTAATTTTGATAAATATTCGAAAAAAAAAAAATTAAAAATTCAGAAAAAAACTTGACAATAAGTTCAATCGTTTACATATATGCCCATCTTTGTAAACAGGCACCAATCTTGTCCCATTGCGAATCTTTCCAAGTTTTGTTTCTTAAATGCATTTTATATATAAAAAATATGTAGATCATTGCAATTAAATGCGTCCAATTAAATCATATTTCAGGCGTGAGTAGAGAAATTTTTAAAGTAGAATACCGATCTTAACATTTTACCGTTGATTTTAACATTGATTACAGAAAATGCTTAGTTTACATAGCTCTAAACCAAAATTTAAACATAGTTAAATTATTAGGAACTTACCGGGAAGCAATTGATGAAGTGTAACTTCTCTTGATCTACTTCCAGACGACCGTTTGATATGAATAGCTTTATATTTACTGTTATATTTTCATATTGAGTTGAAATTATCATCATTTGATTTATAGGATATTCGCTTAATTCCAGTAATGAACGAGCATGCGGATGCAGTTCCACACTAAACACAGCCACGTCGCCCTCGTTTAGATTGTCGTCAAACGTATAGTTAGTATTCACCAAATCGACGATTATATGGGTATCGAGAGACTTTGCAGAGGAGGCTTTTACGCAACCCAAAAACATAATGGAACATCGTACCGCTCTCACTGACTGCATCCTCCAATTGGTGATTTTTACACTGATCGGATTACGATTTTGTACTATTACAAAACTAGTCTGAGGCTTGGAGCCTAAGTTCAACTCAGTACTGTAGACTGAGGAGCTTGAACGCCATATGGTATTGGTTTGAGTATACACGTGCAAAAGTCCTGAGCACAGAGAAACAGGAATATCAAAACATGTCAAGTTTGTATAAATATGTAGTGTCGTGTTATAGTTGAGATCTTTAGAGTCTCGTTTAGATAGCTTTAAGTCCATCTCGAAAGTGGCATGTGGTACTAAAATCGACCCATCAACTCTCAACGAAGGCGAATTAATGGTTAAGGCGGAATCACCTTGTTCCTTGCGCAGGCTTACATTATAAACAGTTAAAGGCTGCTGAAAAAGATTCTGAAATACAAAACGTCGTTGTCCTTTAATGAAGTCCTTTAATGTCAACCGGTTGATATGGCGATCGTAATGAAAAGAGCCTTTGAATAACTCGAATCTAATTAAAAGTTGCACGGAATGTTGCACAGCAATACCACTACTGGGCGATACTAATTTAAGTACAATACGTTCGCTCACAGACGCACCATCAGCAACATACGTCAACATTTGAGGCTTTATGGTTAAAGTAGAATTTTTTGAATTATATTCGAAACCCTTGTTAATTTGTTCGTTTGAACATTGCAGTGAGTTTAATCTGAATTCGTGCTTAGAATGTCGTATATATATATGACGTTGTATAGGATTCGTTTCTGAATTGACCGTCACATGGCCAAGATCTAATAATGGATTTTCAGCATATAAATCATAATCGGAAGTAATCTCAAATTCTACTGGTATTACTAAGATATCTTTATGTTCTTCTCCAAGCAAAGGCCCCGCGATTTTAATGCGAATGTACGCACTGTAATTGCCAGCTGCCAAGCCTTGAAAGCGTATGCGTATTATGGGTTTCGTGGTGTGTGGTGGTATTTCCCATAGTCCTTGAGGCGCCTCTTGATCGCCACTTGGTAACTCCAATTGAAATTGACCACCACTACTGTATATCTTTTTATAGGGGGAAAAAAATTCGTCAATTATATATATTTGTTTTATTTAAAAAAATTTGTATTTTACCTCTAAAATTTGTAGAGAATTCATATGCGGATTATACATGTGTATTTCTGGCATTAGGGTAGCGTTTAGAGGGGCTTTAATACCTATTATAGGTTTTAAGCGATATGGGCATGCCCGACCTTCGCCGCGTACCCATAAACCGACCACCCCGAACGATGTATGTATGTGTAAATCTGTACTTATCGCGCCCTGCTCGCGAGGCAGAAAGACAACGCTGAACGTTGTATTGCTATTTGGCGGTATCATTTTCACTTCGAAAAAACTTGTATAGAAGGCGGGAGTTCGACCGGTTATTGAACTTAAATAAACGCTGCGATTTAAATTCTGATTCACTAATGTAACGGTGTGAGAACGCACCATTCCCACCGACCATGCCCCAAAATCTAACTGTGGTGGTTCAAAACGTAAACTCTCATGTAAGTCTAAAGTTAAATCACCGCTTCGATCGTTTTCACTGGTGGTCTGACTCTGTGCCGTTTTAATGGGCTGTGTGTGCGTTTCATGTTTAAAATTATTACTCTCGGCCTCGTTGGCGAAACGGCACATGCTAGAGGTGACTGAGGATATCAACAAAAACAACCATTGCTTATGGCAGAAATTCATTTTGTGTTAATAAAGCCAGAAGCACTATGGGATGTTTTAAGAGGTGGTCTTATGAGTTTTAAGGTCCGTACATAACTAAAAGTTTATTCATCATCTTGATTAGGGTAACTCCAATAGTGTGTCAACAGTGCGGTCCCCAAGTTACAATTGTGATATCGATTTAATTGCGTCTGTCCAGAAATAGTTTCTTATGTTTGTTTTACTGAGCCGATAGCCTGTGTTGCTAGTGCTCAATGTCTCTTTTTTTAGTCTAAGAATTCAATTCATTAGTCTAAAATTAAAATAGGACGGAGTTCCAATTGTCTTTTTTCTCTATACGTAAGCCGCTTGAAAATAATTAATCTTTCAAACCTTTGTAAGCAGAGAGTTGCATTTGGTGTCGCCGTTATGGTTAAATTGGTCGACAGTGTGGAATTAATCTTATTAATCCAAAGAGCGTGCCAAGCCACTTTATCTCAATTAACTTACCGTTCCATTGTTCGAAAACACACTGATGATTATTATCGTGTACACCTAGTTCTCTTTTTACGCGAAATTCGATTTTAAAGATAAAATTCTCTTTTTACACGAATTGTTTCGTTTTAACACGATTTTAAATTTCCATTCTATGAATTTTTTAAAGAAGTTTTCTGATGCTTTTTTTTCTTTGGTTGCTATGCATATTATTCTCACTCCTCATAAATATGCATTGTAACTTAGTGTTATATCTTTCACAATTCAGTTAAATTATTTCGATTATTTGCGTATGTAAGTAGGATTCCCCTAATTATACCAATCACCGAAGGATGAGAGATATACTCATTTCCGTAATGCATGTAACACCCAAAAGGAAACTTCAGGAACCCTATAGAGTATATTCTTGATCAGCATGAAATTCTGAATTGATTTAGCAATGTCTGCCCATCCGTGTGTCTGTGTGGAGTTTGTTGTTGGCACTCCCCTGGCCGTATAGATAAAGATATCGACTTCAAACTTGGTAGAAACGGTCGGCCAAATTGCGTAGCGGACCGTAAACTCAATGTAGCTTCGTTTTTTTAAACAAATTTTTTTGGATTTTTGTTCTTTACTCGGAAATTGTTAAAGTTTAAAGGCTAAACGTTTCCACATTTACTTTACCAACCACTCTACTCTTTACGTGCAAAAATGGAAATAATCGGCCGCGGCGAATAACTAAATTTTATTTTTTTCATTATTTTGAGGTTTTATGCTTATTTATCATGAAACAAACAACTGGTTAAGCTATTTGTATATTCGTACACATATGGTAGACTCCGCGATAAATTTTTGCTTAATAACTCTAGCGAAATTGGTATCAAATAAAAGAACTTGGAGAGTAGAATGCGAAACGTGCGGTCGTGTGTATGTCAGATTTGGCCGCCACTGAATAATACTTTCTTACTTTTTTTTATAATATATTTAATTAATTGAATTGTTTAGGCCCAAATAAACGCTTAAGTGATCTCTAAGTAAGTATTTTTTAATATTGTTTATTGCACTTTTTCCCAAAACTTTTTTTACACGAATTAATACTTCACTCAACCCCTGGTCAAAGCCAATTTCTCTAATAGTAAGCACTGATACACAAGGTGAACC